AATGAATTGTCGACAAATGGAACCATATATTTTGCTGAGAAATTAGATTTGGCTATTTACGTGCACTGCCCATCTCACAGTCTAAATCTAAAATTTTCTGATACATAGAAACTGTATGGGAATCCTTAATAGCGCATACACATTTTTAAGACACCAAAACGACAATATTGGCTTGCAAATTCAATAGATTAATTAACACATAAAACATCAGCATCTCGACTTAAAATGAGTGTGTGCAACAATATAGATTGAACGTCATGAGTCCGTCTACGTTTTTGTACAACTTCAAAAAGCAACTGTTGGTGCACTGGAAATTATGTCATCCTGGCACGATATAACAGATTTTATAACCGCGGTTCAACTTTTAGGAGGAATTAGGAGTCTTGAGTTTCGAGTTTATCTTAGAGTTTTTTCAAAAATCTGTCAGCAGAAAACTCCAAACATATAACTTTAATCTATCTGCGGCTCTAAAATTTACAGAAGATTCAAGTAGCCTTTTAGTGTATATGCGAAAGGATTGTGAATTAGAATTTACAACCATATTTAATGAAGTCAAAGACATTTATTATATACTTATTCCACGTCGAGCTGGAAAACAAATTCAACACTGCAATGTAATAGCAAATACTCCTGATGAGTATTACAGAATAGCTTACTTTATTCCTTTCCTTTATTCCGTTATATGTCAAAAAGGAGAACAAATGGCTAAAACATATATCTTTTTTGGGAGGATCTGTCTTTTGCCCAATCACTCGGGTTTTACCAAAGTGCTATGATGCATGCTTCAAGTAGAGATTTGCACGTGTGAATGTTGGTGCGAAGGGTATGTTGAACGCGTTAGAAGGATGACGCGGATTGAAAGATAGTGACGTTTTTGGGTAGACACTTGTTTTATGGGCATTTATGTGTAAGTTAGTCTTATCTTGATCGTCGCAGCGAGAGGACGTATTTTGATTGGTGTGACTCAAGTCGGGAGTTTGATTCGTGAGCATGTACATGAAGATTATAAGACCAGAACGAGAATAAATATAAGAGGAAGAAACCAATTGTCATTTTATTTATTAGTCGTCAACTCTGTTTTAACGTAAATGTGGTCTGACACACACCCTCACTACAATAAAGATGATGGATGTTATAATTTGACACGAAAACAACAATACATAATCTTTCGACTTAGATCATGCTATAACAGACTAAATCAACACATGCATAAAAAACTAAAGATTGGGTGTGGCGAAATATGCCCTTGTGGCAAGGCCCCGGAGAATACGAAGCACATCCTTCAGGAATGTTCTTTATATAGCCAGGCGCGAGTCAGACACTGGCCCCTGCTCACCCAACTCAGGGAAAAATTATATGGGACACCTGCTGATTTTGAGACCACAGTCCGGTTTATTCACGAAGTTGGACTTGTTGTCTAAATCCTCCACCATATTCTCAATTAAGAACAAAGAAGAAGAAGAAGAACTCTGTTGTTTGGATGAACAATTGTATGATGCTTGCCCGCGGGTACAATAACTTCATAAGGTAGAGGAGTTCGAATGGTTTTGAATCTGAGCAAGTCAAATCTCTCACACAGTCGTCACACAAAGAACAGGAAAAAAATGCCAAAACTCTTATGCAAATATCTGAACGTTTGAATAACAACATTGTCATCAATGAAAGCCTTTAAGGAACTGAAACTGTGGTGGCACCACATAATAAAATTTGGAAATGTATCACACAATGCGCATTAAGCTTTTTTAATTAATGTGCGAAGTAAAAGTACTTCTGTTAGTGCACAAACTACTTCAAATATTTGTAACATTGCCTGTAACAACTGCCGTCAGCAAACGCTCTTTTTCCACTCTGAGATGGCTAAAACCGTGCTTGCGAAATACTACTTTCGAGGATAGACTAAATGGATTGGCATTATAAAATATACACAGAGACATTGTAATTGCAGTAGATGAGATTCTTGATGAATTAGTCAAGAGTCCAAGACAGACAAACTGAGGACAGACTGACGATAGACAGACAGAGGGAACAAGTTATATAAAAGCATGTAGAAATAACTATTATTTGGGGAAGCGGGGTAATATTAAAATGTAGTGATAAAATAAATTATTTAATTTAAGTTATTACATAATTAAGACGATTGTCCTTCCAGCTCCTCCCACACGGAAAGCAGCCCTTCGTAACAACATTTTACAGATGACAGCAAGCAGATCAAGTATATCTTGTTATCTCCCCTAAGTTTTCAAATCTTTTAAAAATTATATGATCTAATAGCCTTTACTAGATCGACTGGCTCGACGATTGTTTACATTCTCGTAAACCACAGCACACCAGACTGCTTCATTAGCGTGGTCGCATCTAACTATTTATCTACCCTTGTAAAATTGAATATAGTAATCTATCGAGTGATTTAACTTAGTTTATTTCCTCTTAGTTTTAAACCCTTTTATTAATTTAAATGACTAATTAAACATCTATTAAAAATAAAAAATAAAAATTGACTTGTAATTTCTGCAAAGTGGAAAGGATCTGAAAAGTTTAAACAAAATCGCTGCATTGGTAGGGCTATTGTGTCAACATTGAGTAACGAGATTCGCCACAAATCCACAGACAAACAAATAAACAAACGAATAAACAAAGAAACGGATCTTGCGAAATAAATATAAGCTTGTAAAAAAAACCTTTTTATCTTGTAGAAAAACTCATGATTCAGCCCATCTAAATTTAATTCCGGTTGTGTTTTTAAAGCACCAAGTGCTGTAACTCTTTTCAATTCGTTACCTACGAGATAAAAAAAGAACCTTTCTCTAAAATTATTTGTTTTTTTTAAACAGAGATATCCATAAGAAAATAAAATCATTTGTGTTAAACATATAAATTGAAATTAATTAAAAAAAAACTTTTAATAACAATCTTTTATGCAATAAAAAGATAAAATTAATGATTCTCTTTAAATATATAATAATATAATATTATTTAAATAATTATAAAGAACGGAATGGGTTATTATATTATCTATTGGGTACCTTTACAAACTTTAGGAAGAGACGCACGCTTTTCTAAATAGTTTTAAATGGTAGTGTAATAATTACTATTTATAGAAAATATTTGTTTTTCTCTTTTTAGTGCATTATTACGAAAACAAAATTTCATAAAAAGAAAACATATTATACACTACTTTTGAAATAACAATAAAGAAAAGCGTGTAATATATTTTCTCCGTTTTAGTGCATTATTACATAAAAGCTTGTTGTTAAAACGATGTTTTTGAATTTTGTTAGTACTTTACATGTTTTATTTACATGGGACAGAGTGGTCTAGCGGTAGAGAGCCTTAGATGTAGTTGTAGATGTAGTTGTAGTTGTAGTTGTAGTTGTGGATGTGAATGTGGATGTGGATGTGGATGTGGATGTGGATGTGGATGTGGATGTGGATGTGGATTTGGATTTGGATTTGCATTTGGATTTGGATTTGGATTAAGATTTCAGATTTCAGATTCAGATTCAGATTCAGATTCAGATTCAGATTCAGATTCAGATTCAGATTCAGATTCAGATTCAGATTCAGATTCAGATTCAGATTCAGATTCAGATTCAGATTCAGATTCAGATTCAGATTCAGATTCAGATTCAGATTCAGATTCAGATTCAGATTCAGATTCAGATTCAGATTCAGATTCAGATTCAGATTCAGATTCAGATTCAGATTCAGATTCAGATTCAGATTCAGATTCAGATTCAGATTCAGATTCAGATTCAGATTCAGATTCAGATTCAGATTCAGATTCAGATTCAGATTCAGATTCAGATTCAGATTCAGATTCAGATTCAGATTCAGATTCAGATTCAGATTCAGATTCAGATTCAGATTCAGATTCAGATTCAGATTCAGATTCAGATTCAGATTCAGATTCAGATTCAGATTCAGATTCAGATTCAGATTCAGATTCAGATTCAGATTCAGATTCAGATTCAGATTCAGATTCAGATTCAGATTCAGATTCAGATTCAGATTCAGATTCAGATTCAGATTTAGATTTAGATTTAGATTTAGATTTAGATTTAGATTTAGATTTAGATTTAGATTTAGATTTAGATTTAGATTTAGATTTAGATTTAGATTTAGATTTAGATTTAGATTTAGATTTAGATTTAGATTTAGATAGGTATACAAAAAACACTTACATAAGAGATAAAGCTGCCGAGCAAGATTTTTCTCTTCTATAGACAGTTTTAAATTTCCACGATTAAAATAAAGGTTTGCAATATGTTCAAACGTATTTAATTTCCGATGTTCTACTGCGATAAAAAATAGTTCAAATAGTGTAATAAAACTTTTTGTTTGGTATCCGTATGAAACATGTACATTTCTGTAGTTTTTGTCCATTTGTGTTTCTTTCTCAAGTTCATTATTCAATAACATCTCTACAATTTGGTCTTGTCCATTTATACATGCAATTATTAAAGCGGTGTTTCCATAATTGTTAATACAATTTAAATCACATCGTCTGTCTAAATAAAACTCTACTAGTGTTACATTTCCTTCGGCTGTTGCCTGCATTAAAACACTATTTCCTTCATTATTGCAGTAATTTATATCAACTCCAATCTCTATTAATAATTCTACAATTTTTAAATGTCCTTTTGTAGATGCCTTCATTAAAGCATTATTACCATGACTATCGGTATAACTGAAATCAGTGAAATGTTTTTTAAAGTATTTTATAATTTTAAATTGATTTTCATCTAGTAAGGTATATGTTTTATCACATTCCCAACATTGTTTGTTTTCGGAAACGTCCTCTTCTTCCTTAAATAAAAGTTCATAAGCTTTCTCCAGACCAAAAGCATATAAGTATAATAATAGGGCCAAACCATTTTCTGCAATTATTTTATATACATCTATATTACTTTTAAGCAGCAACAAAAAAATGTCGACTTGGAATTCTCTACAGGCTATTACTAAAACAGTTTCTCCTTTTTTATTGCAATGATTTATATTACATCCGCATTGTAAGAGCAATTCCACTATACGAATGTGCCCATTTCTGGTTGCATGCATTAAAATATTATTGCCGTCATCGTCAACAAAAGTTAAACAAGCGCCATATTCAACAAGTAATCTCATAATGTCGTAATGACCTTTTTTACTAGCAGTCATCACTGCTTCACATCCTCTTGTGTTAATATCATCAATGTCAGCTCCATTTTTTATTAATAGTTCTAAAATTCCATGTTGTCCATTAATACAGGCGCATATTAATGGGCTTAATTCATTTTTTGAAATACAATTTACATTTATACCATTTTTAAGCAGCAACTCTAAAACTTCGATATCTAATTCATTACCGGCAAAAAGTAAAGCATTTTCTCCTTTGTTATTGCAATGATTTATATTACATCCACTTTTTATTAGTAATTCCACGATACGAGTGTGCCCATTTCTGATTGCATGCATTAAAGTATTATTACCTTCAAAATCAACCAAAGTTACACTAGCACCAAATTCAAAAATTATTCTAAGAATGTCGTAATGACCTTTTTTACAAGCAATCATCACTGCTTCACATCCTTTTGTGTTAATATCATCAATGTCAGCTCCATTTTTTATTAATAGTTCTAAAATTTCGTGTTGTCCATTAATACAGGCACATAATAATGGTTTTAATCCATTTTTTGAAGCACAGTTTACGTTTATGCCATTTTTAATCAGCAACTCTAAAACGTCAATGTCTATTTCAGCACTGGCGAACAGTAAAGCATTTTCTCCTTTTTTATTGCAATGATTTATATTACACCCCATTTCGATTAGTAATTGCACGATACGAATGTGTCTATTTTTGGTTGCATGCATCAATGCATTGTTACCGTCAACATCAACAACAGTTAAACTAGCGCCATATTCAACAAGTAATCTAATAATGTCGTAATGACCTTTTATACAAGCAGTCATCACTGCTTCACATCCTCTTGTGTTAATATCATCAATGTTAGCTCCATTTTTTATTAATAGTTCTAAAATTTCGTGTTGTCCATTAAAACAGGAAATTAACAATGGGCTTAATTCATTTTTTGAAATACAGTTTACGTTTATGCCATTTTCAATTAGCAACCTTAAAACTTTGCTATCTAACTTAGCACTGGCGAACAGTAAAGCATTTTCTCCATTTTTATTGCGATGATTTATATCACATCCACTTTCGATTAATAATTCCATAATAATATAATGTCCATTTTTGGTTGCATGCATTAAAGCATTATTACCATCTATATCAACAAAACTTACACAAGCGCCATGTTCAATTAGTAATCTACATATGTCGTATTGACCGTTTTTACAAGCAGTTATTATTGCTTCACTTCCTTTAGTGTTAATTTCTTTAACATTAGCTCCATATTTTAATAACATTTCTAGAATTTTGTCCTGTCCTCTAGCACATGCACATAATAATGGGCTACATCCTGTTTTTGAAGTACAGTTTACATTTATACCATTTTTAAGCAGCAACTCTAAAACTTTAATGTCTAATTCAGAACTGGCGAACAGTAAAGCATTTTCTCCATTTTTATTGCGATGATTTATATCACATCCACTTTCGATTAGTAATTCCATAATAATATAATGTCTATTTTTGGTTGCATGCATTAAAGCATTATTACCATCTATATCAACAAAACTTACACAAGCGCCATGTTCAATAAGTAATTTAATAATGTCGTAATGACCGTTTTTACAAGCAGCCATAAATGCTTCACATCCTTTTGTGTTAATGTCATCAATATCAGCTCCATTTTTTATTAATTGTTCTAAAATTTCGTCTTGTCCATTAAAACAGGCACACAATAATGGGCTAAATCCTGTAGTTGAAGTACAGTTTACATTTATACCATTTTTAAGCAGCAACTCTAAAACTTCAATGTTTAATTCAGCACTGGCGAACAATAAAGCATTTTCTCCTTTTTTATTGCAATGATTTATATTACACCCCTTCTCGATTAGTAATTGCACGATACGAATGTGTCTATTTTTGGTTGCATGCATCAATGCATTGTTACCGTCAACATCAACAACAGTTAAACTAGCGCCATATTCAACAAGTAATCTAATAATGTCGTAATGACCGTTTTTACAAGCAATCATCACTGCTTCACATCCTTTTGTGTTAATATCATCAATGTCAGCTCCATTTTTTATTAATAGTTCTAAAATTTCGTGTTGTCCATTAAAACAGGAAATTAATAATGGGCTTAATTTATTTTTTGAAATACAGTTTACGTTTATGCCATTTTCAATTAGCAACCTTAAAACTTTGCTATCTAACTTAGCACTGGCGAACAGTAAAGCATTTTCTCCATTTTTATTGCGATGATTTATATCACATCCACTTTCGATTAATAATTCCATAATAATATAATGTCCATTTTTGGTTGCATGCATTAAAGCATTATTACCATCTATATCAACAAAACTTACACAAGCGCCATGTTCAATTAGTAATCTACATATGTCGTATTGACCGTTTTTACAAGCAGTTATTATTGCTTCACTTCCTTTAGTGTTAATTTCTTTAACATTAGCTCCATATTTTAATAACATTTCTAGAATTTTGTCCTGTCCTCTAGCACATGCACATAATAATGGGCTACATCCTGTTTTTGAAGTACAGTTTACATTTATACCATTTTTAAGCAGCAACTCTAAAACTTTAATGTCTAATTCAGAACTGGCGAACAGTAAAGCATTTTCTCCATTTTTATTGCGATGATTTATATCACATCCACTTTCGATTAGTAATTCCATAATAATATAATGTCTATTTTTGGTTGCATGCATTAAAGCATTATTACCATCTATATCAACAAAACTTACACAAGCGCCATGTTCAATAAGTAATCTAATAATGTCGTAATGACCGTTTTTACAAGCAGCCATAAATGCTTCACATCCTTTTGTGTTAATGTCATCAATGTCAGCTCCATTTTTTATTAATTGTTCTAAAATTTCGTCTTGTCCATTAAAACAGGCACACAATAATGGGCTAAATCCTGTAGTTGAAGTACAGTTTACATTTATACCATTTTTAAGCAGCAACTCTAAAACTTCAATGTTTAATTCAGCACTGGCGAACAATAAAGCATTTTCTCCTTTTTTATTGCAATGATTTATATTACACCCCATTTCGATTAGTAATTGCACGATACGAATGTGTCTATTTTTGGTTGCATGCATCAATCCATTGTTACCGTCAACATCAACTAAAGTTAAACTAGCGCCATATTCAACAAGTAATCTAATAATGTCGTAATGACCTCTTTTACAAGCAATCATCACTGCTTCACATCCTTTTGTGTTAATTTGATCCATGTCAGCTCCATTTTTTATTAATAGTTCTAAAATTTCGTCTTGTCCATTAAAACAGGCACATAATAATGGGCTAAATTCTGTTTTTGAAGTACAATTTACATTAATACCATTTTTAAGCAGCAACTCTAAAACTTCAATGTCTAATTCAGCACTGGCGAACAATAAAGCATTTTCTCCTTTGTTATTGCAATGATTTATATTACACCCCTTTTCGATTAGTAATTTCACGATACGAATGTGTCTATTTCTGGTTGCATGCATCAATGCATTGTTACCGTCAACATCAACTAAATTTAAACAAGCGCCATATTCAACAAGTAATCTAATAATGTCGTAATGACCGTTTTTACAAGCAATCATCACTGCTTCACATCCTTTTGTGTTAATATCATCAATGTCAGCTCCATTTTTTATTAATAGTTCTAAAATTTCGTGTTGTCCATTAATACAGGCACATAATAATGGTTTTAATCCATTTTTTGAAGTACAGTTTACATTTATGCCATTTTTAATCAGCAGTTCTAAAGCTTCGATTTCTATATTGTCAATAGCAAATAGTAAAGCATTTTCTGCCTTTTTATTGCAATGATTTATATCACATCCGTTTTGTATTAGTAAGTCCACGATACGAATGTGTCCATTTCTTGTTGCATGCATCAATGCGTTATTACCTTCATTGTCAACAAAATTTATGCTACCACCATATTTAAAAAGTAATTCAATGATTTTATAATGACCTTTTTTACAAGCAGTCAGTACTGCTTCACATCCTTCTGTGTTAATTTCATCAATGTCTGCTCCATGTTCTAACAATAGTTGTAGAATTTTGTCATGTCCATTAACACATGACAAAAATAACGGATTCCAACCATTTTCAGCATTATAGTTCACATTTACGTCGTTTTTAAGCAGTAACTCTACAATATTGATATGTAATTTTCTACAAGCTATTAGGAAAGCGTTTTCTCTTTTTTTATTTATTTGATTTAGATTTATTTCACATTTTAGTAATAGCTCTACTATTTGAAAATGTCCAAATTTAGTAGCACACATTAACGCATTATTACCTTCATTGTCCAAACATATTACATTTGCATCATTTTCTATTAGTAGCTTAACTATATTTGTAAAACCGTTTTCAACTGCCATTATTAAAGGGCAATAACCGTGGTGATTGTGTTGGTTTACATCAACTCCAACTCTTATAAGGTAGTCAACATTTTTATAGTTCCCATTTTGTATTGCATACATCAGAGCATTATTACCTTCTTTATCTGTGTTGTCGAAATCTACATCACTTTGCAGAAGTAGTTCTACTATCTTATCATGTCCATTTAAGGCTGCAATCATTAATGCATTCCATCCATCTTTTGTAACCCGTTTCAAATTAGCCCCATTCCTTATAAGTAAATCTAATACCTCATAATGTCCATTTTTAGATGCAATCATTACTGCATCCGCTCCTTGTGTATTGATAGTATTCAAATTAGCGCCTTTTTTAATTAGCAGCTCTGCAATTTTAACATGACCATTACAAGCTGCATGCATTAAAGCATCGAATCCATTTTCATCCTGTTTGTTTATATCTTTTCCCATGAGAAGTAATACTTTCACTGTTTTATAGTTCCCATTTAATGCCGCTGTTTTCAATGAATCCATTTTTTTTTTGTTTTTAAATAAGAAACAGGCGCATTGTGACACGATACACATAAATTACTTCGATTTCTTTTGCCCCGTTTTCTAAAAAGGACGGAACATCGTACAGTGCAGTATGTTCCTTCACATATTTTGAAGATTTGTTTTCAACGTTGTTTCAACTGTACTGTAGATCTGTAATTTAAAGACATACAATTTAGAAATGTAAAGTTAAACAATCACACTTATTAGATTGTGTAAATGAAAATTGATTATACTTTTGTGCAACAGTTGACAATTCACAAATATTAATGTGATTTCAAATAGTTACAAATTGGTCAATTTAGACTCGACAAAACGGTGTTCTTAATTAAGCTATTTCACTTATAATGATACAGATGAAAGATATGCAGATTATTTTGATTAGACGTTGCAGAGATAAAATGTTATGAAAGGGTGTTAAAAGATACTTTTGATTCATTTTATTATTTAAGTAATTTTATATCTTTGATTGGTCATTGTCTGAGAATTTTTTAATAGGCTTTGGACAGTCAGGCTGAGAATTGACCAAGAGCGACCGGCCAAATTGCGAAAATGAAGAGCATTAGAATTTTGTTGGTGTTTATAAGCTCAAAGCGTCATGCTAATGAAATTATGCTTGTTTACTAAGGTAAATTGTAAAACTGCATCATAACTATTCACATGTGCATACCATAGTTTTGTTTGTTGCCAAAAAGCGTAATTTAAAACCATAATAGAATATGTTATAACCTTAGTGAAATTAGTACAAAATGACTTTCGGTTTTACTAAGCCTGGAAATATTGAAACATTACTAGTAACATAATAGTAATTTAGCAAAAACTTTTATTTTTAATTTGGATAAGTAGTCAGGGTGTTGTGGTGATAGGTGATGTTACATTATTTAATATAGATAAACTACTAGTATATACCCCATTGACCGCTATTGTGTATTTTATTATGGAAAACATTTGTGAATGTCATAGTTTTACATTCCCTGTTCGCTTCTGTAGTCCTTATTACATGAAAATATTAACGGTGAGCATCTGTTCTTGTTGACACTGTGTATCATCTCCATTTCATACAATTTTTCATGAGCAAATTTTCATGAATCTGAACCATTATCTTTAGCTTGATTTAAATCAGAGCTGTAGAAGCAATTTATTCATTTATTGTAAGCCCTTTCTCACAAGCAATCATAAACGCATTCCCATTCTATGATTTAACTCCGCTGAAAACTGAACGACCTTACAAATAATTCTTGTAATTTTTGGGATGCGATTTAAACAATGCATCAAATCCATTCATGTATGTTTTATCTTAACTTGCACCTATTATAATTAGTAGCTCCAAAATTTTATAATAGCTTTTTAGATCTAGAATGATTAACGTTCCATGCTAAAAAAGATACAAGTTTATAACTAGCTCCTTATTTACTAAGTTATTCAAATTCACACGGTATCTATTTTGAGATGCAATCATAATGACATAAAACTAATATTTATTGAAAAGATTAAAATTATCACGTTCAGTAATTAACAGCTAGACAGTCTCGAAATAACCATTATGAATTGCAAACAATAGGGAATCCTATCATACTTCAAGCAGTTTGTTTATATCATTTCTATTAGTAACGTCTAGATCATGAGACAATTTATTATAACCACTTTTAAATACAAAATACAAATTTTAAACAAACTTTGAGGGTTGTAATTTGCCTGATTAATTTATATTTTAAATATTCTACATGGTAAACTAATTAGGCCTATCTAAATGCAAATATTTGTCATGTTTTGTAGGTGTCTATATTGAGGATGAGGCTGCTTAATTTCTATATTTAAAAAATAGCCTTCCATAGTTGGAGATAATCATGTCGTTCCTACATCCGACATTGTAATATATACATCTAATCCAGCGCATTTATATTTACAAACGGATGCGAGATGTATTTGTTATGTTTTATTATTTTTTAAATAAAATAAAAAGTTTAATAAAAAAAAAGTTTTCAAAAAATCATTCACTAAACAATCAATGATTATCTAAAATTGTATAATAATGCACTATTATTTAGTGTACTAAGAAAGAAAAGCGTGGGTCGTTTATTTTATATTAGTAGGTGTATTCAATACAAAATATGGTGACCCAAGCTTTTCGTTTTTTATATATATTAGAGCTGACCCGCGGGGTATCATACGCAGCAATTTAGTTGTTTTATTTTCTACTTTCAGTACTTCATAGTTAGTTAATTCGACATTTCTCCTTCACCCCCCCCCCCCCTCATTACACCCCCCTCCCTCTCCCCGCGCCACCGTGAAAGCAGCAGTCGTGACGAAAGTTTACGGACGACAATGAAAAGATCAGGCAGAACTTCTTATCTCTCTTTAGTTTCAAATAGTTTAAAAGCTAAATTATCTGCCCCTAATAGCCGTTACTTATTCGATCTAGCTCTACGATTGTAAACATTCGGGTCGAACCTTAGCTCACCAGAATGGTGGGGGTGGGGATGGTAGCTATTTGCCTAGACAGCGGGTGAATAACGGCGTGCGTTTAATTGGTGGCTTCTCGCATGGTCCCCAAGAAAATAATTATGTATATAGACTAGCTGCATACCCGTACCCCGCCACGGTAAACCTTTTTAAAAATATACCAACTTGGGAACAGAGATTTAATGATTTGTTATACTATAGTGCTGCACTTGCATATCCCCTTAAAGCAAATAAAGCAAAATGAATAAGCAGCTGAATGCATCATTATCTTTCTATAATAAGTATGTAAAAAATTGGTGCAATTGTAATCTTTATGTTTTTTTGGAAGGGTTCTTAGAGAGACATAGTTTAATTAATAATAATTCAATACATTAAAATAACAGCGCCGAATACCATAAAATAGACCTTTTGACACATGAACAGCAATCTGCAAAAAAAGTCAACACTGTACCGACTCACACCTAACTAAAACCCCGAGCTACCCTACATTTCATTCTCCTAGCCCAGGGGTCGGCAACCTTTTGCTACGCACGAGCCAAAAGATACAATATACAAAATTTCCCAGTTTTTGAAGAGCCACAATGTTTAGTTCAATATTTTGCTATTTGATTAGGATTAGGTAAATACATTTGATTTGTTATTTAAAATAAATAGCTTTAAATATGAAATAATATTTATTCATATAAAAACATAAACATGTTTTAGCAGAATAGTACAATTAGTAATCAAATAATATTATTCTAGGACTATCTCAATCCACTTTAGAAGCATTTTATTTTTCATTTATTTTTTCTTTAAGGATATCACCGGCTCAGGATGTGTCTCCCATTAGCCAGTCAGGCCTCAACACGGCAAACGCCGACTAACTGGCTTGGATATGGGTTTGAATAACTTATAACTTGCATCATACGCTTCTATCCTTTGGTTCTCACCAGGCTTATCTTCCATCCCACTGAACGCAGGGTAAAGTCGTACCCCACAGTCCAGTAAAAATTGAAATTATATAACTATTAACATTTGTGCAAAGAGCTGGAGAGCAGCATCTGGACGTCAAAAGAGCCGCATGCAGCTCGCGAGCCGCAGGTTGCTGACCCCTGTCCTAGCCACATCAACCCGCAAACACCACTTTTCTACCCTACTGTTATTATGTTAATAAAATGTATCCACTTTTTCTGAGAATCTAAACGAAAATGATATTTGACATTGATCCTTTTAATATGGTTTAGCAATGTGCGTGTATTTAATATTTTCTTTACGTTAGGCATAGAATAAAAACAGTGACAACTATAAAACAACTTTATGTCCATATATAAACAAACCCTACTCTATTATTAATAATAAGACACTGCGATGCACTGAAAAGCACTGCATGGTGCAATGTTTACTTTCATGGTTCCAAAATCTATAGCGATGACGGAAGGACTGACACACTACCAGCCCGCTTATATTATAGACTAGCTGCATCCCGTGCTCCGCCACGTTAAATCCTTTTTAAATGTATCAACTGGGGAACAGAACAAAACTATATTAGTACTATATAAGTACTGAAAAGGCATATTGCTCACAGATAGATTAATATTAGTAAACAGTATAAATAATAGGCAGTATTTAAAATATCCGTGTTTTACCTACCATATATCACTTTATCAATTCACGCATTTTATTTTTCCAGTACTTTAAATTTAAAAAAATTACAATAGCAAAGTGTGAATGCAAATTATGCGTTTGTGAAAGAGGAAATTGTTGTTAGAAAATTATAATTAGCATGGATTGATAAAAGGGCAATCTTTTATTTATTTTATTCACTGAATGTACTGTTTACTACTTATGATTTTTTTTATCAACAATTCCGCACTATTATAGACGCGTCATCACGTTCATTATGTGCGCAATGGTTTTAGTTATGAAAATCTATTGTAAATTTTTAAAATTTAAAGTACTGGAAAAAAAAATGCGTGAATTAATAAAGTGATATTTGGTAGGTAAAACACGGATATTTTAAATACTGCCTATTATTTTTGTATATTATTTATTATTATTCTATCTTTCGGTTTGCGGACAAGCTGGGGGTTTTATAGGAGAGGCGTAGCAAGGTGGAGGGGGGGGGGGGGGGGGGGCATATGTCCCCGGGTGCCGACTTTAAAGAGCGCCAAAGTGGGTTGGAAAAAATTTGCGGGGGGGGGGGGGGTATGGGAATCGAAAGTTTTAGGGCGGGGGGGGGGGGGTGGAAATTGAAATTTTGAGGTGAAGGGGTGCAAATCGTAAGTTTGAGGGGAGGTCAAATTGACATTTTGTCCCCGGGCGCCGGA